GCCACACTGTCTTCCACAATGGTTGAACTAGTTTACAGTCCCACCAACAGTGTAACAGTGTTCCTATTTCTCCACATCCTCTCCAGCACCTGTTGTTTCCTGACTTTTTAATGATTGCCATTCTAACTGGTGTGAGATGGTATCTCGTTGTGGTTTTGATTTGCATTTCTCTGATGGCCAGTGATGATGAGCATTTTTTCATGTGTCTGTTGGCTGCATAAATATCTTCTTTTGAGAAATGTCTGTTAATATCCTTTGCCCACTTTTTGATGGGGTTGTTTGTTTTTTTCTTGTAAATTTGTTTGAGTTCTTTGTAGGTTCTAGATATTAGCCCTCTGTCAGATGAGTAGATTGCAAAAATTTTCTCCCATTCTGTAGGTTGCCTCTTCACTCTGATGGTAATTTCTTTTGCTATGCAGAAGCTGTTTAATTAGATCCCATTTGTCAATTTTGGCTTTTGTTCCCATTGCTTTTGGTGTTTTAGACATGAAGTCCTTGCCCATGCCTATGGCCTGAATGGTATTGCCTTGGTTTTCTTCTAGGGTTTTTAACATTTAAGTCTCTAATCCATCTTGAATTAATTTTTGTGTAAGGTATAAGGAAGGGTTCCAGTTTCAGCTTTCTACTATGACTAGCCAGTTTTCCCAGCACTGTTTATTAAATAAGAAATTCTTTCTCCATTTCTTGTTTTTGTCAGGTTTGTCAAAGATCAGATGGTTGTAGATGTGTGATATTATTTCTGAGAACTCTGTTCTGTTCCATTGGTCTATATCTCTGTTTTGGTACCAGTACCATGCTGTTTTGGTTACTGTAGCCTTGTAGTATAGTTTGAAGTCAGGTAGCGTGATGTCTCCAGCTTTGTTCTTTTGGCTTAGGATTGTCTTGGCAATGCGGGCTCTTTTTAGAGATTATGTTTTAAATGCCGAATCAGGAGGTCTGGGGTGGGGCTTGAAATTCTGCATGTCTGTCTTAATAAGCTCGCAGCTCATGCTGTGACTGGTCCCCAGACCACACTTGAGTGGCTTGAGTTTGTTATTTAAAGTGCAAAGCACTGGCCCACACCAGTCCACGAGAGTCAATAAGGCATGGTCCTGCTCTCTTGCAGAATTTGCTTAGTGTACTAGAAAGAATACTCAGGTCAAGAGATCCGCTTTCCACTTCCTGCTCTGCCTCCAACTAATCAGTGTAAGGTAAGTTTCTTAGAAGTGCTTTAGTTCTTCACCCTCTTATCTCTAAAATGAGAGGCTTGAATTGGATAAACTTGAAGGTTCCCTTTGTTCTTAAATCCTCTCATGCTTGTCCAGGATGTTTTCAGACTCTATCTGGATCAGGTTTTTACGTGGAATGGAATCTGGATCCTATAAAGACCCTGTCATCCTTTAGAGAATGGAGGCCTAGGCCCTGAGCTTATGATCTAGTGGGAGAAATAAAACTAACAAATGTTAAAAAAATTAAAGAAGAGTTAAATGTTCAAGTGTAAGCTATGATAAGTACAAAAAGAATGCAGGGAAACTAGAGAGGAGTGTTAAGTGAAATGGTCAGGAAAACTTCATTGCCAAGGGGAAATTTGAGTTAACATCGTTTACTGGGCTAGATGACTGCAGGGCTGACACAGAGTGGTGGTCCTCATGCTTTTGAGTTTCCTTGTCTCTAAAAAAGCATCCTTCAACAGTGAAGAACAAAACATATTTTTCTGCCTTAAATTAAAACAAAGTAGGAGAAAGACCTAGTTCTGTGGAAGTGTTTAAAGGGAAATCAAAATCCAAAAAACTCTATATTTAATTTTTCAAGGCTAATCTTGACTGAAAAGATTGATACTGAAAAAAAAATCACCACTACCAAATATAGAGCAAAAAACCCAGTGTACCTCTCTATCGATAATAAAAAATGGTTTTAGAAATTACCTAAAATGTAAGTAAATTCCTCAAATTATAAGCAATATTGAAAGTGACATATCCTTTATCTTAACTCATTGGGAAAGAGACCAGATAATTTATTTAGATTTTATAACATAGGTGCACAAGAATTTTTGACTCACCTCTTTTAATGTCAAAGGAGATGTATTTTGCATTCTAATTAGAATTTTACTAAATTTTATGTTCTCTTAAGAGGAGGTTGTGTGATCAGGGCTCAGGTATAGAAAAATAAAAAATAGAGCAGTTACCCTCATTTAATGAATTATATTTAGTACACACAGTGCAGCTCTGTGTTCTCTGAATATCCTGAGAGTTTCGGTTTTTATCTCTGTGGCTAGATCATTTTGAAATTGCAGACTTTGAGTAATTTTTCTCACAAACACGTGCTATTATAGTTTTACTGTATAGTCATGCTGCATAGTGACATTTTGGTCAAGGGCAGAGCACATGTACAATGTTCCCATAAGATTATAATACTGTATTTTTGCTGTACATTTTCTTTGTTTAGATATGCTTAGATACAGAAATACCATTTTGTTACAATTGCCTGCAATTAGTACAGTAACATGCTGTACAGGTTTGCAGCCTAGGAGCAAGCAACTATGTCATATAGCCTACCTATGTAGGAGGCCATACCATTTGGGTTTGTGTAAGCACAGTCTATGATGTTTGTACAATGATAAAATAGCCCAATGATGTTTCTCAGAAGGTATTCCTGCTGTTAAGTGATGCATAACTGTATATGGTAAATCTTTTATATAATCAACTATTGATTATCTATCACAGTGAGATTGACAATGCAATAGAAATCTTCTATTTTTAAGCTGTTAAATACAATTTATGTTACTAAATAGCAAAATTATTTTGGTTGCAAGTGACAGAAAACCCAACCCATTGGGTGAAGCAAAGAAGGGACGTTTTGGGGACATGTAATTGAAAAATCTGAGGTAGAACTAGTTTCAGATATGGTTGGTATAAATAATGTAGTCAGAATCTGGTTTCTCTGCATCTCATGGTCTTGCTTTCCTCTGAGTTGCGGAGGAATTACATGATGCCTGCCAGTTTTTTTTTTTTTTCTTTTTCTTTTTTTGTGGTCTGTCTGGCTCAAACCTAGTGGAAAAGAGAACAGCCATCTTTCCCAAACCCCCTAAACCAAATCCCGAATTTCATCCCATTGGCTGTGATTGTAGATCATTTGTCCTCCAGAGTCTCTGAGGCCAGCAGTACTGATTGGCAAGATTGGAGACCTGTGTCTATCCCTGGAGCTGTAATTAGTGGAACAGTAGCCAATGCTCCTCTAAGGAACCATTCCCTTCTCAATCAGGAAATGGTTCCTTAGAGGAGCAATTAGTACTGCTCCAAAAGAAGGAAGAATTGATGTTTGATGTGAAAGTGGCAATGACAACAGTCACTACATATATCTTTCTCAGTTTAAGCCAATGTTAAATTTACATTTTTCTAAATACAAAGATTTCAATGGTGAAAGACCATTACAGGATCTGCTTTGTGGTAAGATAGTGTAGAGCTGGAATTTAAAACAGTAATTCCATCTACAAAATGGATATCCTTAATGAAATAATTAAAAATGACAATATTGGATATCTGATGGCCTACTTTCCAGGCGGGAATGATATTAAAAATATTTAACAACCTGTGACAGAGGCATCAACCAATCAGAATGAGTTGGATCCAACCAATCAAAACTGGTGCTGACAACAACTAGCCAGTGCAGCCCCATGAGTGAGAGCTCGCAGTTTGTCAGCACAACTTACTGGGAGGCATTCTTAAGGTGCTGCCAAGTGTCTCAAAAAATAGAGTTACTGTATTAGTTTCCTAGGTATGTTGTAACAAGGTACCACAGACTTAAAGTAACAGAAATTTATTCTCTGTTCTGGAGGTAAGAAGTCTGAAATCAAGATGTTGGCAGGGTCCTGCTCCCACCAGAGGCTCTAGGGAAGGACCATTCCTTACTGCTTCTAGCTTCCAGTGGCTGATGGCAATCCTTGGCATTCTTTAGCTCCTAGATGCTAGAAGACTGGAGCGGTGGCTCCAGTCTTCATCTTCACATGGCTTTCTTCCCTGTTTGTGTCACTGCATCCAAATTTCCCTCTTCTTATAGGAAGATTAACCCCTTAGTCCTTATTGTTATTTTAATTCTATTAAAATGTAAATGTTGGTGTGACAATTTGGTGGGGAATTAATATTTATTGGCATGTATGTTTGTGCTTGGGGAGGTATTATATTCTTACACATGATTTTATTGAATTCAAACAAGTGTTACCTTAAAAAAATGGAACTGGCCACAATTAGATGAACATCATTCATTAGTGTATTTAAGAGCAAGTACAAGAAGCAGGAGACAAATACTGGTAAAGGGCTCAGAAGCCATATCTTGTAAGGAGTATTTGCATATGGTGGTCATTTCTTCAGCTCTTGGAAGAACAGCTGTGTGGAAAAGGGATTAGACTTCAGAGGGCAGAACTAAGTAAGTTAAAGTTAAAGGATGTGAAATACAGGACAAAACTTTCTTAATGTACAATGCACTAAAATGGAAATGGCCGCTGTGTAAGGGAGTAACAAGCCCAAGTTCCTGGAGGTGCTCAGGCAGTTGCTGAGATGCATAATTACCTTTCTGGGACATTTTCATAGAGATCTTGCCGTGAGAAAGAAATTGAAATGGAAGCTGTCTTGCAGCTTTGAGATCTATTGCAAGTCCTGAAATTGTTCTCTATGGGTAGGCCATGAAAATCAATATTAATTATGTGACAAGCTATTTCTATAAGCTTAATTTTTGTTCTGTGATCTTGGTGCTATGGACTAGTGAGGAAAAAAAGGGAAAGATTTAATCTAGGAGGGGGAAACATCATTAATAAATAAGAAAGGTAGGAGAATAAAACTTGCATTTATTGACTACTTACTATGTGCAGGGTGTTGGACTAGTCTCTTTATCCATATAGTCTCATCTCATTTAGTACATTTAGTTTTTCACTGATCAGTTTGGAACTTATGGGAAGTGGTTGTTAAAATGATGAATTCTTAAAATAATTGACTTTTTCTTATATATTTTTTGGTGGTAAAACACAGGACTGTTCTGATGGCTACATGTGCAAAATACACTTTCAAATTAAGAGTGGGTCTGTGATGTCACATCCAGGAGCATCTACCCATGGACAGACATGTCCTCCCATGGAGGTGAGTAGTTTAATGTGTCACGCGCTTCTTTTCAGTATCCATAAAGTATACATTTAAAAATGTATGCTTTAATGAATCCATTGCATTCCATCCTATGGAAGCACCACAATTATATCGCACTCATATTGAAATAAAATACTTTAATTCTGTTAAGTAAATATTTTAAAAACTTTAAACTTCTTCCCATTGGAGAGATATCCAATTGCCATTGGATCCTGGGCCTGTTGTAGCAGGAGAAGGAGGTATTTTCCTATGTAATACTGAAAGCAAGAATTGTGGTAAAGTTATAGAAGATCCACTCTGACTCCAGATTGTAGTGAGCCATCATACTTTTGGTTTCTCTTGGACCTGAATACCACAGATGCCTCTGTTGTCTATTTATTTTTTCCAAGTAAAATTCCCTGAAGATAATATAGCCCTAGCCCCAGGCTGCTTAATACTTGATTGGAGACCTTTTTGCCTGCTTTGCCTTTATTCTCTTTTCCCTTGAAAATATGTTGAATCTGGATCTTATTCCTTAGGAGACTTTAACCTTGACTTGAAAATCTTGCTAAACCAAATTTTATTATGGTACTAATGACTGAGTGGTTTTCTGAGATATTTTCAATTTTCTTTTTATTGAAATGCAAACAACCTTATTGTATTTCTTGTGAAAAAAATTGTATATGCCCATTATAAAAATAAATAATAGAGAAATATATAAAAAGGATTTTAGAATGTCCCATATGTCCTTCAGTAGTTTACCACTGGTAACATTTTAGTAAGTATCCTTTCACATATTTCTATCATGTACACACATATACATACTTGTTTTTTTTTTTTTTTTCAATGAACAAGTATATCACGGACATCTTTCCATGTCAGTACATGCAGATTTCCATAGTTCTCTATAGTGACTCCATTCCATTCCATCCTATGGAAGCACCACAATTATATAGCACTCATATTGAAATAGAATACTTGACTTTTCAAAGAGGATTGGTGAAGACCTAATTATTTCAACACAAAAGAAGAAATCACTAGTGTTTGAATTCTGAGCATCCTGGGAAAATGAAAGAGGTGACTTTTTTTTTGTGCAGGAAGAACTGTTTCCCAGAACATGTTAAATCAGGCCCATTTGCCAATCAGACATCAGCCCCCTTGCCTGTATATGATGCTGGCCTGCAAGTAACTTTCACCTATTTATAATTTGGTTTGCAAGTTATTCTTGAGAGTATTATGCTTGGTAATAAGCTAAGTGCCCCCAGATGGGTGCTTGAATCTTGATTACTGCTTCATGGTTCCAATAACCAAAATCAAATTTGAAGCCAAGCATATTAGGAAGCTTTTCAATTCATTATATATTAACTTAAAAAAAGTTTTAAAAATTAACATAGAAATGATGATTTAAAAAATGAATTACTAGTTTTTGCCTAACAAGTTGGCAGAGATTTGAAAAGCACTAAAAAGTGGTGTTGACAGTGTGAGGGAACTGACACTTTCTGGTTGATGTTTTAACTTCACAAAGTTTAAAGATGTGCACATACTATGAATAATCTAGTCCAATTCTAGGAATTTAGCCTCATAAAATATAATTTTTTTCAACATTTTTCATTTCCAACATTTCCCAATAAATTTGAAACATATGGAAAAGTTGAAAGAATTTTGCAGTGAATATCTATATACTTAAACCACCTAAAGTCTACCATTAACATTTTGCTGTGCTTGCTTTATTTTATGTTGATCCCTCTATTTATACATCTTATTTTTTGATGCAATAATTTTAATCAAAGTAAATTGCATACAAGTACTCATAAAATATTTGAGTACACAAAGATTTACCTGCAAGTATATTCATTTCACTCTTATTTATAATAGGAAAAATGAAAATAATGGAAATATACAACAGTAATGGATTGGTTAATTATGGCACATCTCTAGATGGATGCAGTCATTAAAAATGATATTCTTGGTGACTGTTTAATTACACAGGTTAAATGTTCATGTAGGCCGGGCACAGTGGCTCAACGCCTGTAATACTAGTACTTTGAGAGGCTGAGGCAGGCGGATCACCTGAGCTTAGGAGTTAAAGACCAGCCTGGTCAACACAGTGAAACCCCATCTCTACTAAAAATACAAAATTTAGCCAGGTGTGGGGGCATGCGCCTATGGTCCTAGCTGCTCGGGAGGCTGAGACAGGAGAACTGAGCCTGGGAGGTGGAGGTTGCAGTGAGCTGAGATTACATCATTGGTGGGTGACAGAGTGAGACCTTGTCTTGGAAAAAAAAAAAAAGTTCATGTTAAGTTAAAAAAAGGTAGATTAGGCCGGGCGCGGTGGCTCAAGCCTGTAATCCCAGCACTTTGGGAGGCCGAGACGGGCGGATCACGAGGTCAGGAGATCGTGACCATCCTGGCTAACACGGTGAAACCCTGTCTCTACTAAAAAAAAATACAAAAAACTAGCCGGGCGAGGTGGCGGGCGCCTGTAGTCCCAGCTACTCGGGAGGCTGAGGCAGGAGAATGGTGTAAACCCGGGAGGCGGAGCTTGCAGTGAGCTGAGATCCGGCCATTGCACTCCAGCCTGGGTGACAGAGCGAGACTCCGTCTCAAAAAAAAAAAAAAAAAGGTAGATTATGTGGTATAAACAATAGAATCCAAGTTTGGTTAACATTCTTCAAACTATCCATCGACTACTACAATTTTAAATTATGATTCTTTTTAAAATTTATCTCTTCAAAGAGTGAAACCTGTAACTCTTTTCTTTCACTCTCTTGAAATCCGTAGGGTTATTTTTGCTTGATCCAGTGATTTCATTTGGAGTCACCATCCATCCTTGTAAGTTTCCGTTACTGCTGTAGCTCTGGTAGACATCCCTCTCTTTTTTTCCCAGATAAGAGCAGAAGATTTTAAAGTTTAGAACAAGACAGCCCAGGCTGGGCGCGGTGGCTCACGCCTGTAATCCCAGCAGTTTGGGAGGCCGAGGTGGGCGGATCACGAGGTCAGAAGATCGAGACTATCCTGGCCAACATGGTGAAACCCCATCTCTACTAAAAATACAAAAAATTAGCCGGGCGTGGTGGCGGGCGCCTGTAGTCCCAGCTACTCTGGGTACTCTGGAGGTTGAGGCAGGAGAATGGCGTGAACCCGGGAGGCGGAGCTTGCTGTGAGCCGAGATCGTGCCACCGTCCTCCAGCCGGGGCAACACAGCAAGGCTCCATCTCAAAAAAAAAAAAAAAAAAAAAAGAACAAGACGGCCTAGTACCCCATCTTTGTGTATCTCCCAGCTTCCCTACCTCTCTGTAGCAGAAACAGTATTTGAAAGGTTACATATACATATACAAACATGTAATACTCACATAAGGCCTAGAAATAATTTCCCCCCTTCCAAACACATAAGATTTTCTTAGAATATTTTTTTTTCTTTTTATTTACATTTATTCTTGTTCTTTCTCTTCAGGAATTTGCTTCAAAAGTATATGTTCTTTATCTCTCCTTCTTAGTACTCCTCAGATTCATGCTTATTGTTTTAAAAGCCAGATTGCTTCCTTAGATTGTAAACCCCATGGAAGTAAGGTGACTCAGTGAATATCTATTATTTGACTAAACCTTCAGGTTTAATTACCCACAGAACTAGCTCACTTAAGAAATCAGATACCTCTGTATTTTGATATAAATTGGATAATCTAGTGAATTACTTAGAATTGATTATTATTACATATTATTATATATACAATATATATAATATAGTATATTATAAAAAAGTATGGGTGTATGTGTATACATGTGTATATATATGTATACATATACACACATACCCTCCTCCCCCCGTTTTTTTTTTTACACACAGGGTCTTACTCTGTCTCCCATGCTGGAGTGCAGTGGCACAGTAATAGCTTACTGAATCATCTAATTCCTGGGCTCAAGTGATCCTCTCACCTCTGCCTCCCAAGTAGCTGGGACTACAGGCATGCACCACAATGCCTAGCTAAGTTAAGAATTTTTTTTAGAGATTTGGGTCTTGCTGTGTTGCCCAAGCTTGTCTGAAAGTCCTGGCCTCAAGTGATCCTCTCTCCTCAGCTTCCCAAAGTGCTGAGATTACAGGCATGAGCCACTGTGCCCAGGCTGAATTCTAAAAGAGTTTAGTTTCTACTAGAATAACATTTTTTTTCAACAATCAATTTACATAGAAAAATCAACAATGTTTAAAAAGAGGTTTGCAGGGAGTTTTTAGTAGTTTGTGTTCCTGAGTTGTCACTGGAATGGAATCGGATGATAAACCCTTCATCTTCCAGTCAACTCCAGTGTTTTATTTTTAATATTTGGCAACTCATAGTAAATTTAGTCTGCCTAATTTACTCAGATTATAACAACAGCACAAGTAGAAGAAAGAGTGCTAGACTTGGAGATAGAAATTGTTTTGTAGTTCTCTTCACCACTTATTAGTCATGTAACCTTGAGTAAACTTCAGTGTTCTCATTCAAACTGTGGGCCCTTCTTACTTCTTGTTTTGGTTGGATGTAACAAGGGTACAGTGCTCTTATTAATACTAATAATGTCACACATATAATTATCTTTTTATGGTTATCTCATAATTATGCAAGAAGCAGCAGGATGTGAATGGAGAAACATGAAGGAGCAGGAAGAGAGCAGCGACTGTAACACTTCCTTTCTTTTCATATTCTATTCTTACCTTTAGATGCTGGGAATAATGAGTAGCCTCCAACCTGGAAACTAACCCTTATTCAGCCACCACCACCAGTTATCTCAGAGAGTGGTACAGAGACAATTGAGAGTGACTCTCACTAAAAAACAGTGGTAGACTAATTAGAGCATTTAAAACATTCCATTTGAACTACATATGTAATGTCTTTCTTTCCTAGATCAACACTGGACAGGGATGTGTTTTCCTCTTAAGTTCTCTCTTTCTTCATCATAGATTTGTTTGTAACTTTTATTTAGTCAGTAATATGATTAGAGGTATGGCAATTTGAATTTTTTTAGTTTTTCATTTAAAAATACCT